AGGCGCAGCCCTTTAAGCTCTGGGCCTCGCTGGTTCCTAAATGGCTGAAGAAAAAAGCTATTTGGGAGCCGATTACTTGGTCTCACCGTAATTTATATGGACCAGGGGTGAGGCCCACACAGCAGGTGGGCATGGACTAAAGTTTTCAGTGCTCCGCTCTGCGCTAAGGGACAAACCCACTTGCGATAGCCTTAAAGCGCTGTGCCTATACTCATAGAATCTGGGGTTACAGTACGTAACCAACGTCTTTCAGCCAAAAGACTTCATTAGTCCGAGGAGCCACAACAAACTTAGTCTTAAAAGCAGCTTCACATAGAGGGTCAACCAGTTTGATGGTGCTCAGATGGTTTCTCAAGTCTGCCTTCTCCCCGCCGACTTGTTTGAGGCATTCATGGCCAAAGTGTTATTTATCTATTAGATGTAATTATATTTGTTACAGGTAATTACAAATGTTTTAGGCCAGATCTGGCCTAAAACATTTGATTTGTTGTACTTGATGATTGATTGTTTTGCACGTGTTAAAAGTCTACTTCTGAGATTCCAACTGGCTTGAAACACAGCAGTGAAGGCTACTTATGAGACAGATCTGGTTGGAAGGCCGTAGACTGAGAAAGTCCTCTGGATGGGGGACGAAACGTTTCTCATTTAAACAAAACTGGTCCAGATGACACGATTTAACCTTTTTTTGTTGTTATCTACCAGGATGATTGAGCTTACAACCTTTTTTTTTCCAGTGAGAGATATTCTTTTGAAAATGTAATTACTTCTAATAGATTTACTGAACACTTAGAGCTTGAGTGGCCCTATCAGCTGGATGGTCGACTTGTTCCAGTAGCAACAAAAGAGAATCAATTTATTGAGCAGACAACATCAGGCTCCACAGCAGTTAGGGCAACATGGTTTGTTTTAGCTTTTGAAGGTTGAAAATCATAATTTAGTATTGGACAAAGAAAACAAGAAACACAGTTTTGGTCCAACTAAAGTACTGAGTTGAATTATTCTAATTAAACTGGTCAGTGTTGTACCTTTCTGAACTGGTTCAATTTTAATGATTTGGCTAAATCAAAGTTTGGTACATCAGAATGATCAAGGTTTGGAAAGGCAGCTACCTGAAAAGGGTCTTATCAACTTTAATGTGGCCCAAACTGCTACGTGTATGCTCATAAATGTTATATCAATATGACCGGCTCAGCACCGTGATGTGTGCTTTTACTTTTATTGGTGTTTCGAGTTACCACGGCAACGTAATTTGTTTATAGATGCCATTTTCCCATTGAAAAACACTGACAGAACTCTTTTATTGCCTCTAAGTGACACAGTGAGGTCACATGACATAGAGTGGAGAGGTCTCTGAACAAAACACCAATTAACTTTTGGAGCCATTTTGGTTCCAGATCCAAAATCCAAGATGGCTGCCTGAGCTAAAAAGTAAAAATACTATCAATCAGCTGTTTTCAGAGATATTAAGCTGAAATTTGGTGTGGTGCTAGATGAAAGCAATGCCCAATAAATACTGAATTCAAATTTAAAAATCCAAGATGACCACAAAAACTAAATGTAATGGTTTTAACAGCTATTGTTGCACATACAGAGCTGAAATTTGGTGAGGTTATAGCTGCGAGCGTCCCCCATCACATACTGAATCCACATCAAAAATCCAAGATGGTCGCCATAGTTTAAAAGAAAAAAAATATATAGCTCATTGAATTTTTGCCACCTGGTATGGTGGTAGCTGAGCACGAACTGTCAAATCAAAATGTTAAAATGGCCGCCACATAGCAATCCCCACCAAAGTTTCTTTACAAACTTTCTAGAGTTGACACTACGGCTCTATTGATCCAAACTGGACTGTACGTTCTTCAAGACGTGTCAAACAAATATTTGACAAACAGCCAAATTAAAAGTTTTTTCCTCTTCAAAAGTAGTATTTTAAAAAGCTCCAAGCAGCTTGCAGCGTCCACATGTCCTGTCTGTGGGCTCAGGGTGCAGCAGGATGGCTCCTCAGCATAAACACTGGAGTTTGTGTGAGTTTGTCCACAGAGGTCGTGATCACTGAGCCGATCGCTCTGCAGCCTCGTTGTTTTTAATTTATGAGTCTCAGGCCAGTTCTCAAGTGTTCCAGGAACCTCAACTAAGCCTCAAATCTCTGACCTCTGAGGGTATTTTGAACATAAGCTGCTGCTTGTTTCATTCTACTGATTGATAAAATAAATGTCAGAGAAAACTCTGACAGCCTGACAGAAACACGCAGCGTTCAAGCTGCAGATGGACACAGCTACATGTTGAACTCAGTGCCGTTCACACGCACAGCGTATATTAAAGGCACTAGTAAAGGTATACCTCTACTCTTTTCTGACATGGTATTTGGCAAAAAGTTATTTAAAAAGTGGGTTTATTTCAAAATGTGGGAGGCGATCACCTGAAGTACTTCGAACCTGTGTTCAGTACATCTGTACCGTGATGGTTCGGTACAAAAACATGCACCATACAACCATCTAGCCAAAACATTTAGGGGGAATGCGATCTGTGTCCAAAACTAATTCACATTGAAGCTTTTTGATCTTTTACTTGATGCAGGAAAAGGCAAAAGATTTGGAGCTATTTCATTTATTTTTTTTAAACAATATTTTTAGGGGCTTCCTTAAAATCAAGGGTATGCTTACAAATACAAACTTTGATGTATACGTTTTCTCTGATAAAAGTATTTAAATGGCACAAAACCTGTCAAAATATCTAGTTTGATGTATTTCAATGTAATGAATTAGATTCCTGCTGTTTTAAGCTCTTTTAAAGAGGGTTTTAGGACACCTTGAAGGTATTAGTTTTAACATTTTTCTTAGTTCATACCTTAGATCTTATTGCTGTTTTTCTTTACAATTTATACTTTTCTTGGATGTAACTGGGACCCTGTGTACACAATTTCATTCCACCACACGTACCACATGTGGTGTGAATGACAAATAAATAAACTTTGACTTTGACAAGAACATTTGCAAGATTGCTTTTATTTGACTTTTAATCCACTTTTAATTGTATTCAGTCAGTTTAGCAGAAAAACGACAATGCCTGTATGGTCTCGACTCTGGCCTCTTGTTGGATTGTGGACTCTTTAACTGTTCAATCTGAGCTGGTGAGGGTCAACAGGGTCCTCTCTGATGCCCTTTTGTCCTCTACTGGTTCCCCTCTGGGTTATGTTCTTTCGCCCTTTTCATTTATTTTATACACAAACGATTGTCGCAGCCAGTTCCCACAGCGTCACATTTTAAAGTTTGCTGATAACTCTGTCATCCTGTCCCTTCTCAGCAGTGATGACCAGACCTGTGGTCGGGGACTTCACTGAACGGTGTGAGTCTTCCTTTTTAAAGGTAAATGTTTCTAAGACAAAGGAGATGGTCATTGATTTTAGAAAAGACTCTTCAGTTGTCACTTCTGTGGTCATTAACGATGAAGCTGTGCAGGTGATGCAACAATATAAATATCTGGGAACTGTTCTTGATGACAAACTGACCTTTGACCCCCATGTGAACTCACTTTGTAAAAAGGTCCACATGAGACTGTATTTTTATCAGAAGCTTTGTGGTTTTAATGTTGATTCTACTTTTATGAGAATGTTTTATTCATGTTTTATTGAATTTCTTTTACCTTCATCTGTTGGTTTGGACTTTTGACCATCAAAAACAGGAACAAACACTTGGGGATTGTCAGGATGTGCAGCAAAACTGCTGGCATAGCCCTGCAGAACCTCACTGACCTACAGAACCTCACTGACCTACACCAGGTGAGGTCAGTGAACAAGGCCAGGCTGATTCTGGCAGATCCTGATCATCCACTCCATGGTGAGTTCAGGTTGCTTCCATCTGGATGCAGGTATCTGCTGCCCAGATGTAGAACAGACTGAAAAACTCATTCATCTCTGTAGTGGTCAGTCTTTTCAACGAACAATAATGATTTCTGTTATTTTAATGGCTTTTCTAGTATGGATGTTTACATGACTGTGAAAAGAAACTGCCCTTTGGAGATATTAAAGATTCTTGAACTGTATTTACAACCACTCATTGCAAAGTCTACTTCAGAGTACTCAGACGTATCATGATCAATCTTTGTTAGTTGTATAAAGTTTCTGCTTTGAAATAACCTCAAAAAACAAAGTCATACCTGGTCAAGAACTTTAGGTTGTGGCCTTGGATGATGCAAATGAAACTCTTTGGCCAATTATTAAATTATGATTTGGTCAGTTGAGGCCCCTTCTACTCCAGATAGGTTTACTATCTTCAGCAAAAAATAAATCTTTGTCCAAATGACAAACAAGAACTAAACAAAATGCTAAATAACCGTACCGTTGTTGCACGAGTTCAAAATCCAAACTGAAAGAGACGTTAAAGTAGAAAGGCCAAGTTTAGAGAAAGAATTGATCTTTGGCTGAAGATTTTTCCATGAACAATTGTAGCTTAGTTTTTTTTAATTACACATTTTACAATCATAAACTTTTTAGCACACAGTTTTAAGGGCTAGAAGTTCAGAATGAGGGAGGTGAGAAAAGGAGTAAAAGCAACTTTAAAAACCTCTGTTTTTCCACCAAAAATACCTCCCACACTTAGTTGGGAGAAAAAATGTCCAATTAAAAAAATATCTGTGATAGTGTGGACAGGGCCTGAAAATATTTTCTTTAATAATGACTTAAAAACATTGTATTCTGAAGTCTGTTGAACCAGTTTTACACTAAATATGTGATTATATTGTGCAAACTTTCCTGCTGATTGGCAAATGGAAGATTATTATTGACATTGTGTCTGTATCATAGCAATACGCTATAATTGAAGGTAATTTGTCTTTTTGAAGAGCCGGGAAGAGTTGAACTTGTTTTTAGTGACTTTGAATTAGAGGATTAGGTGTAGACATAAAGGAAATAAGACGTGCCCTTTGTTTGTTCAGTTATTAATGAAAACAGCTGTTAGAGGACATAAGAACTGTATAAAGTGTCATTCTGGTAGCGGGCCTACCTTGATTATAATGAGCAGGTAGCAGAGACATATCACCGCCAGGGGAAGGAAGAATCCAACGAAGAAGGTGTAGAAGATAAAAGCTTTGTAGTAGATGTCCTGGGGCTCGGGCCACACTATCCCACACACTGGCACTTTGTCCAGTCCACTGAAAATCATAGTTGGTAAGATGACCAGCAGCGACACGCCCCACACTGTCAGGTTAATTAGTTTGGCTATGAAGGGCTTCCGCCATTTTGTGGACCTGATGGGGTGGACTACAGCCAGGTATCGATCGATGCTCATCACCATGAGACAGAAGATGCTGGTAAATTGATTGAGAGAGTCTGAAACAGTGAGGAGGAGGAATACAGACAAGGAGAATTTAAGTTGTGATTAAATGTCAGAGTGAATAAACCACCATCTTATAGATAACAACAAAGACTGAGACTATTAAAGTACTGAAGTTGGTCTTTGTTCCATTCCACCTGAATCTGTTACATCTTCATTTTTACAGACATCAAATGATTGCCTGTTTTTCTAATGTGAATAACAAGGTTTGAGATAACTCTGGTCAAACATCTTTACGGTTCTGAACTGAATGAGACGACCCCAAACTACCAAACAACAGCCATGAGAACAGCAGCTCCAATTCTCCCAAAAAGCTAACATAAAGATCTTCAGAGCTTCCTGTGACGGTTCTGTAGCACAGGAAAGACTGCACGATCGTTTGTGCAAGAAAATTTGATTATTCTATCTCACATGAAATTTTCACAATCAAATCACTCAAGGCAGTGCTGCGAAAGTTTTACTTATAGACTGCTTATTTTAAGTGTGGACGGATTCTGCTTTTACTTAGTCCTTAAACAAAGTCAGTGGAAATAATTTAGTAAATATACATATATAGACACACACATACATACAGACAAAACACATGTATGATGCAAACTCAAAAACACGCAAAAACAAAAAAATTTTTTGTGTTTGCGTGTTTGCATCATACATGTGTTTGCTGCATGTTTGCACCTGTCGGACGCCCTTTCTCCCACAGACCAAAAACATGCATGTTAGACTGATTGGTAACTCTAACTTGTCTTGTCCCTAGGTGAGAGAGAGAGAGAGAGAGAGAGAGAGAGAGAGAGAGAGAGAGAGAGTGAACGGTTGTTTGTCTCATTTGGCTCTATGTGTCCCTGTGATTCAATTTAATTCAATTCAGTTTATTTATTTGGCGCTAAGTTACAATAGAATTCATCTCAGGGCACTGAACAGAAACATTCATGTATAAAAATAATAATTTAACATTATTTATCTGAGGAGCAGACTGCTTTGAATTTAACTCCATCACAGAACTCTCATCTGGAGCAAACGTGAAGGCGACAGTGGAAAAACTCCCTTATGAGGAAGAAACCTTTAGCAGAACCATCCTCAGGACAAGTGTCCATCTGCCTCAACCAGCTGGGTTTGAGAGGAACAGATACACAATGGCAGATTGAGAATCACATGTTAAGATAGAAATATCAAATGAAAATTATTCAATTTTATCAATTCATTTAAGGAAATGAGGCCAATTTGTCCTCTAGTAGTCTAAGCTTAACGCAGCATAACAAACCAACACTAACTATAGGATTTATCAAAAAGGAAAGTCTTAAGCCCAGTCTTAAAACTGGACAATGTGTCAGCCTCACGAGGTCAAGGTTCTTTATCGTCATTCACATCACATGTGGTATGAGGTGGAATAAAACTATGTACACAGGTTCCCAGTTACATAAAACAAAAATTCAAGTTGTAAAGAAAAACAGTAATAAGATCTAAGATATGACTAAGAAATACACCAAACTAAGAATATACTAAGCACTAATAGTACAAAAACAATGTGCCAAACAACAGCAGAACGAACATGAGTCTGTGTGAGCAGATGAAGACGAATGAAGACAGTAACATGAAATAGATCAGCAGCACGAGATCAGCATCATGGATAGTCAGCAGAATGTACTGTATCAACAACCAACAACCACGTGGCACCACAGTGACTTTTTCACAATTATTTGCACAGTGATAATCCTGACCAGGGACTCGTGAGTCTGACAGCCCCAGGGTAGAAGCTGCTCCTCAGCCCAGTGGCTTCGCACTTAACACTCCTCAACCTTCAACCCTTACGGACAGAAACTGGAAGTTGGTTCCACAAGAGAGGAGCCTGACGACTGAAAGATCTTCCTCCCATTCTACTTTTGGAAACTCTAGGAACCACAAGTAAACCTTCAGTCAGAGAAGGAAGTGCTCTGTTAGGAAAATATGGATCAAAAAGATCTCTAATATCAGATGGAGCTAGGTTGTTGAGCACTTTGTAGGTTAGAAGTAAGATTTTGAATTCCGTTTTGGATTTGACAGGGAGCCAGTGGAGAGAAACTGGAGAGATATGATCTTTCCTAATAACTCCAGTTAAGACTCTGGCAACAGCATTTTTGGGTCAAATGAAGATGTTTTAAAGACATATTTGGACACCCAGATAATAAACCACTGCAATAGTCCAGTGTAGACGTGACAAATGCGTGAACAGTTTGTCTGCATCATTTTTAGATAAGATGTTTCTAATTTTAGTAATTTACGCAGGTGGAAGAAGGCAGTTCTAGTAACATTTTTAATGTGGGGGATAAAAGACTGATGGACTGTCCAGGGTGTTCCCCACCTCTCGCACAGTGACTACTGGATAAAGGCACCAGTGACCCCCGTGACGCGAAAAGGAAGAAGTGGGTAAACATAATTGATATATATACACATATATGTGTGTGTATATATACATAGGCTGCACAGAAATCTGTCGGAATCAGTCTTCCCACCATCACAGACATCCACACCTCCAGATGCAGGAAGAGGGCCACCTGCATCATGAAGGACCCCACTCACTCAGCACACACACTTTTTGCCCCACTCCCCTCAGGAAGGAGGTTAAGGAGCATTAAGTGTAGAACCACTAGACTGAGGAACAGCTTCTACCCTGAGGCTGTTAGACTCATGAATCTCTAACTAGAATAATCACTGTGAAAAACCACATCATGTTGCTGCTGATCTGTTTCATGTTGCTGCTGATCTGTTTCAATGTTGATGTGTTCATGCGTGCACATCTGCTCACAGACTCATGTTCATGTTTGTGCTGATGTTCAATGTTTT